GAAACACGATTATTTTCCTAGGATTCTAATAAGTTCAGTTTTTAATTTAAGTTCAGAATTAACGCTGATTTTTGTTGTTTGACTTCTGAATCAGTAAGTTCAGTTTTATGAAGAACGTAACTAGATGATGCGCTTAAAAAAATCTTAAAAAGGTATTAAAGGTTTTAGCGATCGCCCTCAACTGAAGTAAGAATTAAAAAAAGAGAAAAGAAAAAAAAAAAGATTTTTATAAAATAAGTTTTTATTTAAAACTTATAAAATAATTAATGACTTGAAACGATCACTGGAATAATGTATGTGGCAAAATACTCTTAAAAACACTTGGTCATCGCTTTTTCCGAAGAAAATTTTAAAAAGGATATCATTTAAAAATTCTAATTAAAAGTGAAAAAAAAAATAATATTGTTTAGAAAAACATTTATTCTTCGGTGCAAGGAGCATTAAATAGCCCATTTACTGCCAAAACTAGCATATTGGCTTGATATGAGAGTATAAATCTTAGGAAGAAAATGCTCGGGAATTGGCAAAAAGACTTGGAAATAAAAATTATTGGTGAAGTACAATGAGGTGTCGGACATGGGTCGAGCGATCAGTGGAGTACACGGCTGTTGAGGGGTTAGTTGGGATGGGACGGAATAAAGGGATCTAAAGTAGCATGTCCCTTCATTTTTCTTCTCTCTCTCTTTTCTTTAAAAAAAAATATAACATGTTGCTACCTAACCAAAAAGACTTGAATTATTATTATTTGCTTGTTTACACTTGTGATATTAATTTTGACTCAGTTTTAGAGCCGTTTATTTTATTATTCTGTTATAATGTTTGATGATTTTAGTCTCCATTTCAGCAGATGATTAAAGTAGTTTTATTCAACAGCAATTCATTAAAATGATCCAGTTTATTTATCCCGTTTGTAGTTTCAATAAACCTCTTACTTAAATTCTAGTCTGGAGGCAAAGAGAAGTAAGGTGGAATCAGACCCATAAAGTTTTCTTCAAATTATCAAATAATACTAAATAAGACTCCTGAAAGCATTTTTTGTTTTGTTTACATTAGAAAAATCGTAGCAATTATATTAGGAAAACAACAGCAAATTACGTTTGAAAGTAATGAATAATGTTACACAAGCAGGTATCAATTCTCTGTTTTTGATTTCGATGAAAATTTTCCTCCTGTTGCCAAATTAAATTCCATAGGAATAATTAGTCTATGCTGTAGAAAACATTCGAAAAGATTACAGTTAGATTTCGAAATGGCTGACGTAAACAGAAATTCCCGTAGGATTTCAAAATGAAATCAATTTAGGTAAAGTATGTTTTTAAAGCGAAATTTATACAGTCGTAAACAATCAGATAGAACGAAAAATTAAAATCTTCTGAACAAATCATATAATACCTGTAACTGTGTATATTATAAAAGGTTGCTATTTAAAGGGAATCCCAGACAAAGACGATAATCGAAAATCCTACATAGAATTTGCATTTATTCCTGCAAGGAAGGTCTTCCGAGCTGCCAAACAAGGAATATACAAAGATGATTGCATTTGCAGACGATGTAGCCTTTGTTGTGAAAGAGCATTCAAGCGGTATGCTGGAACGCTGCTGTAATGGTAAAATGATCTCTGCAATAAACAAAAACTAATCATCGCGGAAACAAAATAAAAAATTATGATAATTCCCAAACTGGGTAAAACTCTGCAACGCCATTCCTGCGTAAAAGTTAATAAGAAAAAAATTAAAATATCTAAGGAAATAAAACTTTAGGCTTAATATTAGAACTCAAGTTCTCCTAGTTACCACATCTTCATAGTATATGTAAAAAAACTCTGGAAGTCTCATGAGTTCCTTCCAGAATATATGAATTCGCGTGAGGTCTTCAAAAACACAAAACATCCTTGATCGTACAAGTAATTGAAAAGATATTGCTTTTGCGGAGCAGCTGTTTAGACACACCCAATGAACGCACGTTATACGAAGAACACTGGCTTCAATCCAACGGCAATTCTGTTGTAAAAATTAATTAGGCATTTGACAATAAATAAATAAAATGTTTTTTTCTAACTCACTTCTGGCAACCCTAAATAATGCCAAGACACACGGGCTTCAAACACGTCAACTATGTTAATCACGTGATATTAATTTATCCCATGATCCTCTTGTTCTTTTGCTATTATTAAGCTTTTGTATGTGCTTGTATTAACAGTAATGTATCTATCGCTTATATTATTTTAGTTGCAGTAGAGTAAATATATTATTAGTGTTTAAATCTGCATCCTATTATTTATCGATAAATCCCTCATATCATCATCAATAAAGTTTCGGAGATTGAACTGCTGCTACTGAGTGCACAAAAGGTAAGCTGATTTTGCTATCTTTATTCTTCAGTGATTATTGAGACTGATATCGTTGTGAATTCTGAAATTAAAAATTTAAACTGTGCACATAAACTTTCTGCAACTGCTAAGAAAGAATTAATAATGGCACAGTCAAGTCTTAAAGATTGTATGCAAATAACGAAACTGAATTCCGAAAATTACGCTACTTGGAAATTCAAGATTCAAATGGTGTTAATGCGTGATGGGTTAGATGATCTTCTTTATTCTCCCCCATCATCTAAACCTGATGATGAATTTTGAAAGAGGGATAAAAGCGCACGAGCTATAATAAATCTATGCGTTAACGACTCTCAGATTATTCATGTTAGAGGTAAAACGACTACCGCCAGTACATGGCAGACATTAAAGTCAGTTCACAAGCGCTCAAATTTGAGTAACAAACTATATCTTCTGAAAAAATTATATTCAATAAAAATGGCAGAACACGGTGATATGATCGCGCATGTCACTCATATGATGGACTTGGTCGAAAGAGTGAAAGCTGAAAGGTCGAAAGACTGAGAACATTCCTGTTCAGTATGTAGCCGCACTTTTGTTAGTTTCGATTCCCGAACCGTACAATAATCTTATAACCGCCATTGAAGCTAGAGAGGAAATTCTTATAATTACAGATCTTTTGAAAACGAAACTCACTCACGAGTACAAGAGAAGAGTAGAACAACAAGCAGATCAAAGTTCTAATTCTTCAACCGCGTTTTAATCTGTAATAAATGCAAGAAATTATAATAATAATAAACAAAAGAAATTTTGTACCTTTTGTAAACGCAGTGGTCATACTCGTGAGAGTTGTTATAAATTAAAAAACAAAAATAACAATTCTTGTCCTGACAACTCAAAATCAGAAAATCGCGTGACCAAATATGTCGGAAAATCCAACCAGCATTGTATGAGCGCAGACATTTCCGTTCGCTATGAATCCAGCTGTCAATTGTCGTCAGTCAAAAACACTGTATATGAAAAAGGTTTAATAATTACTCCACGATATTGCTCAGAGCAAAATATAAATAAAAAGATTTTGTACATGAATTCCGGCGCGAGCAGTCAGCTAATGGGAGATAAAAGTTTGTTTACAGAACTGATATATGAGGATTCTCAAGCAAAATTCATTTTTAGCGGATGAAAAAATTTTATATTTGCAGGGCAGAGGATTTGTTGACCTTGATTTAGAACATGAATGGGGATTACAGAAAATTCGATTGACTGATGTTTATTACGCTCCTGATTTAAAGAGCAACTTAATTTCCATTAAGCAAATTGCTAGTAAGGGATATTCTGTTACTTTCAAAAAAGAAAAGTGTTACGTAAAGAAGGATAGCCAAATAATTATCCGTGCGTATTCTGATGATAATAGCTTAAAATTCAGAAAGCGCTAATTTTTCAGCTGAGTGAAAAAATAAAAACTGTATTCAAATATGGTATTCTAGGTTAGGTCATCGAAGTTATGATGCAATCAGACAATTAGTAAGATAAAATCATGCAGAAGGAATAAAATTAGATAATTGCAGTCATAATAAAAGCTGTTCAGAATGCATAAAGAATAAAATGCAGCAAATTCCTTATCCAAAAGCTGATAGCGTTCGAGCAAGAAAAACCACTGGAACTTATACATAGTGACATTTGCGGGCCTATGCCTACTCCAAGTATTGGTGGAAAACTTTATTTCGTAACCTTTATTGATGACTTTACTAACTACACTGTCATCTATTTACTCGCTAAAAAAATGAAGTTCCTCAGAACGGTGTGAGCGAAAGAAAAAATAGAAGTCTTACTGAGATGACCAGGTGCCTGCTGTCCCAAGGCCGACTTTCAGACAAATTCTGCGGCGAAGCTGTCAATACAGCAAATTACATCCAGAACCGCCTTCCAACCAGAGCTTGTGATAAGACTCCCTATGAATTATGGAGTGGAAGAAAACCTAATTTAGCTCATGCGAAACAATTTGGTTGTACAGCCTATGCATATGTACGTAATGAAACCCGTAAAAAATTAGATAAAAAAGCAATTGAAAGAATTTTTGTCGATTACGGTCAACGATCAAAGGGATACAAAATATACATAGGTGAAAACCGTTTAATTATCATGAAAAGCGTAAAGTTTGTCGAAGAATTATCAGCGAATGAAAATATTGAAATTTCTCTTCATCCAAAGGTTGAAGATGTTGAAAATGATGAAGAAACTGAAGAAAAGGACGAAATTGTATCCTAAGAAAACCAAGATGATCAGAAAGGAAATTGAAGGGAATACTACCAGAACGTCTAGGATTTTTAACAAACACAATCAAAACCATACCTGAGAATTTTAAAGACTTGGATAAATTGAATTCCGAAGAAAAGGAAAAATGGTTACTCGCAATTGACGAAGAAATAAATTCCTTATCCCGAAATAAAACTTGGGAACTGGTTAAGCTTCCTGTTGGAAAGAAACCTATTGGCTGTCGATGGATTTTCAATCTGAAAGAAAACGAAGATGGAACAGTCATTCGTTACAAAGCGCGACTAGTTGCTAAAGGTTATAGTCAAAAATTTGGAACTGATTATCATCATACCTTTGCACCAGTAGTTCGACATACAACTATCAGAACTTTCTTTCTGTCGCAACATATGGTAAAATGCATGTGAGACATGTAGATGTCACTACAGCATTTCTACGTGGAAATTTAGAAGAAGAAATATACATGGAACAGCCAGGAGGCACAGTTCAACCCGGAGAAGGTTTGCAGACTGAAAAAAGCTATTTATGGTATAAGATATTTCTCCCACTTTCCTAGCGTCCTTCGTGGTGTAGTGGTTCTGCACGCTGGGCCGGTATTCCAGAGGTCCGTGGTTCCATTCCCGGCGAAGGCGGTTGCATATTTTTCATCTTTTCTGCTTCCAATTAAACTAATGACTCTACAAGTGGCGCCCGAACTAAAAGGGTTGTGGATGATGATTCTCCACACCCCGGATTTGGCGACTAGGTCCCTAAAACCCTAGTCGCCCTTTAAAAAGGGGAGTATATAAGGTATTTCTCCCACTTTCCTAGCGTCCTTCGTGGTGTAGTGGTTCTGCATACTGAGCCGGTATTCCAGAGGTCCGTGGTTCGATTCCTGGCGAAGGCGGTTGCTAATTTTTCATCTCTCTGGCTTCAAAAAAATCCTAATGTCTCTACAGTGGATTAAAGAAAGCTGATAGAGCATGGAATAAAAAGTTGAAGAAGTATTAAAAAATAGTAACTTTATGCAAAGTACGACAGACCGATGCTCATTTCTAAAGAAAGATGGAAATGACACGATAATGATTATTGTCTACGTTAACGCTATTCTTATAGCATGCAAAAGCGAAGAAAAAATCAAAAGGCTAATCAAATCTGTCAATCAAAGATTTAGGAGAAATCAGAAACTACTTAGGAATCAACATCAAAAGAGATCAAAACAAGTTTCTATTGAGTCAAAAATCAAAAATAGAAAAATTGATAAGATATTTTGTCCAGATATCCACAAACCAGCTTACAAATCAATGGATACTTCTTATCCTTTTAACTGTCATGCCCGAGATAATCTCGGGCACAGTCCTAGTGTTCGAAAATGTCACGCCCGAGTATTACTAGGGGTAATTTTTTTTTTGAGTGCATCGTATTGTTATACCCGAATATATATCGGGAGACGTTTATTTCGGCTTCATCTCTTTGTCAAACCCAACTGTATCTCGGGAAAAGTTAATGTGCGCTCAGTTCAACAGATGACAGCACTTTACTGAAGATTTCAAAGGTTAGAGGTTATTTGGTTCAAGGTGCATGGGATCTTTTTGTTGTAAAATAGCGTCCAGTTCTTTGAAACGTTATATAGATGATTTAGATTCTTCAACCGAAGATGAAGGATGTGTGTTTGATGAGCAGTATTAATGATACTTCCATGGTCAGCCTCAAAAATAAAAAATGGAGATATACTCAAGCCGAAGATTGTTTCTAATTACGGTCTAACTATGGGTGGTGTAGATCGCTGTGATCAGGAAATATCCTTTCATCCAACAATTCGAAAACGTCAGGTAAAATATTATAAAAAGATACTTTTACATTTACTAGACAAGGTACTCTGGAACTCATATTTGCTCTATAAAAATGTAGTTGGGAAACGTATTACATTTTTAGAATTTCGAATCCAAGTTGTAGAAGAGCTTTTGCATAAATATGATGATGCAGCTTCTGGACAAAAGAATGTTGGCAGACCACCTACAATAGATAACCCTGCTCGTCTTACTGAACGACATTTTATATCCCATTTTCCTCCTATTCCTGCGAAACGTGAGCCTACAAGATAGTGCAAAGTGTGTTGTTCGAAAAAGGATAAAAATGGGGAAAAGATAAGGAAGGAATCACGATTTTGGTGTAGTGATTATGGAGTTGGTTTGTGCTTGGAAAAGTGTTTCCAGTTGTACCACATAAGACTGAATTACTGAACTACTAATAGGCATTCACTTATATTTATTTATGTTTTAGAAAATAGTTAATTCTTTTCATTTTTAGAAAATAATGCTCCACTAGAAGCGAACTTTGCAACTGCCATGTTGAGTGACAGCGGCCTCAAAGAAAATATTCAGTGGCTAGAAAACTTTAAAAATTTTACCCATGTACGTCAAAATATCAATTTTGAACTACTTAAGTATATTTTATTTTGTACTAAACATTTGGTTTTTGCAATAAAAAAATTTGACAATTTGTGTACCCAAATCATCAAAATAGCTTGACAGTTAAAGGGTTATCCAAAGGAAGAGGAGATCTCTTTACCAGTGGACAAGACCAAGTACAGGCAAGCCATTGGAGCCTTATTATACATAGCCACTGTAACCAGACAGGACATTACTCTTGCAGTGAATGTGTTAAGCAGGAAAAATGAATCTCCAAATGAGAAAGACTGGAAAGCAGTTGTAAGAGTGATTCAATACCTCAACTCTACGAAGGACATTTGCCTGAAAATTGACTTTGATAGCACACCAACACTTTCTTGTTATACGGATGCTGACTATGCATTTGATTTAACCACTAGACGATCAACCAGCTTACACATCAATGGATACTTCTTATCCAAAGGAAGAGGAGATCTCTCCACCAGTGGACAAGACCAAGTACAGGCAAGCCATTGGAGCCTTATTATACATAGCCACTGTAACCAGACCGGACATTACTCTTGCAGTGAATGTGTTAAGCAGGAAAAATGAATCTACAAATGAGAAAGACTGGAAAACAGTTGTAAGAGTAATTCAATACCTCAACTCTACGAAGGACATTTTCCTGAAAATTGACTTTGATAGCACACCAACACTTTCTTGTTATACGGATGCTGACTATGCATTTGATTTAACCACCAGACGATCAACAGGTGGAAAGTTATTTTTTCTTAGGAAATAGTCCAATATTTTGGTCCACAAAGAGACAAAATTGTGTTTCCCTTTCATCTATCGAATTCGAGCTTATTTCTGCAGCCACTGCTGCTCAAGAGCTCAAATGGATATTAGATCTCCTTAAAGATTTTGGACTACCTATTTTGGACTAAAGATTTTGGATTACCTACCCATTAAGATATTTGAAGACAATAAGTCCACAATAGCTCTTATAAAACAGGGGAAAATGAATACCAGGCTGAAAGGCATATTAATGTTAAATATTTCTTTTTAAGGGAAATGGAAGAAAATAAAATAATCGAGATAACTTACTGCAATACATTTACAATGATTGAAGATATTTTTATTAAGCCATTGGCCCAAACCAAAACTTCTGAAATTAAGAAGTGAGCTGAATATGATTTCCAACATTTCCCAAATGCATGATTAAAGGGGGGATTGTTGTAAATTAATCAGACATTTGAGAATAAATAAATCAAATGTTTTTTCTAACTGACTTCTGGCAACCCTAAAAAATGCCAAGACACACTGGCGTCAAACTCATCAACTATATTAATCACGTGATATTAATTTACCCCATGATCCTCTTATTCTTTAGTTCTTATTAAGCTTCTGCATTTGCTTGTATTAGCAGTAATGTATCTATCGCTTATATTATTTTAGTTGCAGTAGAATAAATATATTATTGTTTAAATCTGCATCGTATTATTTATGGATAAATCCCCCATATCATCATCAATAAAGCTTCGGAGACTCAACTGCTGCTACTGAGTGCACAAAAGGTAAGCTGATTTTGCTATCTTTATTCTGCAAATTCTTCCTGCAAATAGTAGAAGGGTTTCGTACAACAGCAACTGCCAGCTTATGTGTACTAACATGACTTTCCCCACTGCATATTCCAGCAGAAGAGGAAGATGACCCAGGAAAAGTCTACAATAAAAAAATAAAATAAAAAAAAAAACATTCGTTAATGATAAAAAAAGAGCTCATTACATTATAAATATCTAAGGAACCATACTTGCGGCATCCAGCATCATATAAAACTGACATTAAATCAAAATTTAATACAGTAAACAAATGCTCAATGGTATGTACATACAGATCGAAAATTAACAACAAAGTCGGAGCGTCCATGTTATTCTGATTTCAAATCTTCAGAAAGAAATCTGGAAAGGCCACTGGTATGAATATGAAAGAGTATCCCGAACAGAGCTGACGACAATAAAACGAGCAATTATTTGTGCAAAACCTGTGAACGCCAATTTAATTACCATTTTTTCAGTCATGCAGAGATTCAAGCAGTTGCAAATTACACAAATAAATCTCCCGTTGTACAAGAAATTCACGATTTAACAGTGGAAAACGCCAATACTAAAATAGTAGTTAAATGGGTAAAAGCCCATGCTAGTCAAGTGTATAATGACAAAACAGCTACTTTTGCCAAAGAAACGGCACAGAATGAACCACTGCTTACAATAGAAATGCTACTGCTAAGGAACTCATATAAAGAATTCCTTACGCAAAAGAACACTTCAAATCTGGAAAAACAAATGTGATGAAGCATAAGAAAAAGATTACATAAAATGTGTAAATCACACATACTAATTTACCACAAATTATTTTTATTTTCCCACATACTGTTTTGCTTGAAATCTTATCGAAACAGATAAATGCATATGTGGGGAAAGAGGCGACCCTAAGTATTGTATATTTAACTCGTAAAAGAAACCATTCCAAGAATAGGCACCACAAGATATCAGATGGATAAAAAATCTCAAAAATTATGATCCAGCTCATGGCATATGACAAACAGAAATATGTAGAATCTAATGAAATAAATAAAATACTTATACACACATCCAATAAGATACTTTATAAAATGATTAAAAAAATTGTAGCTATGAGCAACAAAATATAAATACACTCCAAAGCACTATCAGAATACCAATTAGTATTTCAAAATGAAATAATTAAAACTGTATATAAAGAAACGTAGAATGCATGACTTAGACCGGCAACATGGGGGGAAGCCAGTAGGAGAAAGGTGAAAACGTTGCGCACTGTGTGTTGGATACCTTTCTGAGCCGGTTTCTGAAGTAGAGTGGTTTGTGTCTCGCGATGAATGATGCCCTAGTACAGAGTGCGATGGAGTACCTGTAAATCTATAGGCGACTTTCTGGCGTTCTGTTCCCTTTTCCCTGTCTCTGGTGGAACACTTGGCTCCCTGGTCGGTATACTGACGCTAACTGCAATACCGATAAGCCCGGGTTCGAGTCCCGGACAAGGCATGGTTGTTTATAAGTGTATATTGCTTGTGTGCATGCTAGCACTTAAATACGGTCCAGCCGAATGGTTCGTTGACAGGAGAGAAGGAAGAACCTGGGATCATCCCCCGGAGTGTTCTCCATTAAAAGTGGCTGCACAATTAGTGCGATGAGACAATGCCTGTACAACCAATAGTGAAATTCTGGAGTCCCAATCACTTGTACCTATAATTTTTGAACATTTCTTTAATTTTATACACTATTATTTCCTTTCTTTTTTCAACAAAGATTGGTGACGTTACATTAATTGTGTAACCATCATAAATTAAGCGTCCTCTTTTGAATCGAGTTTCGTACAAAGATTCTACCAGATATCAGCCCAGATATATGCACTTTACCATACTAATCTTCCACATTGCCTGGTAAATTGAAAATTCAGGTATATAAGATTTATAATTTATTTCCCAAATTATAGTAGCACATTGCTTATCAATAGTACATTTTGTGTACTTCAGCTTCAAAAAAAAAAAAAAAAAAAAGCTTTTGTAATATAAACGGAACTTGCATTTCACTTCAAAGATTACGTGCAAATCTGATTTTGCACTTTTGACATGGTACCTCTGCATTAACATTGAGACACTAGATTAAATCGAAACCTGATGCAAACAACGCTGTCTTTATCTCGTGCCGTTATTCTAGTCTCTATAATTGCTCCACATCCGTGTCAGTCGAAAGCACTTGCGTATCTGTCACGCAGAAAACGTAATTGAATGGAACCTGGGATGAAATACCGTCTCGACAATAGCTACAGTAATAAATCGATAAAGGAAATCCACTCCTATACCTACAACAGCCCTAAAAATGTCCGGTCCAAATATTTTATGGCCCTCGCCAAAACTTCCTTTTTCCAGCGCTGAACACTCATGTATCAAACTTAATGTCAAAGCTGTCAGCGGAGAGCGGCGAGGAACATGTGCGATCTTCAGGCATTTGGCGTGAAATGGGGTTAATATTGACCGCCAAATACTTGGCGAGGAAAGGCTTTTGGCACACGTACATATCATGTTTATTCTTGAATCCATTTTGAGTTAAGTCTTGTCATGTTTCCCTTGGATATTTCCTTAAAATACTGAAAGGAAGGAAGGGAAAGAAATTATGACGGATTGCTCTGGCACAGATGGTGTATTTTAAAGCATATGTTTTCTGTTTTATTTGCATATCTTGCTATTAAACTTTCAAGTAGAAAGAATTAAAAGTGAGATTTAAGATCTAAATATTACCTCGAGACACTGAATTAAAAGAAAACTGTTCTTGATTGCATTGTTATTCTTATTATTTCTGTCATTCTGCCATTCGTTTCACTTTCAACAAAGCTATACTTTAGATTTTTTTTGTTTCCTTAATGATACACCACATTTTTTTAGAAAAATCACATTTCCTTAATATTTTTAAATAGAAGTATTTAAATTTTCAGTAGCTTATTAGAGAAATAAATATGTATTATAATACAATAAATGGTCTAAAAGTCCTTAGTGAAATTGTAATTATGTTTTGCATTGCTAATTTCTGTTCAGATTTGAGCTCATTGATAAAAGTTCGGGTAAAACTGCTGCATTCTAGTTGTTCATCCAGTCGGTTTCTTACTAGTGCACTTAGGTACGTTTCCTCACGTAAAACGTACAAATGAGTACATTTCCCTTAAAAATGGTCTGTACAAGGGTACCGTTTCTTTTGGAAGCGAACTTTTAATTGCTTTGCCTTAATCATAACTAAACTTCTATTCTGATTTACTCTTCATAAGAATATTTTAAAAATGCTTCAGATTGCTTAGAGCTTATAAGGTATCTTCTCCCTTCTCTCTGTACGCCTTCGTGATGTAACGGTAGCACACTTGGCGCGTATTTCAGAGGTGCAGGGTTCAAGTCACGGCGAGGGCATTGCACATTTTTCACATCTCCTGCTTAAAAAAAATCTCTCTACAGTGGCGCCAGAACTAAAAGTAGTGTACGATAATTCGTCACCACAAGCATTTGGCGATAGGGTTCCCTAACTTCCAGTCGCCCTTTAAAAGGGAGAGTATATAAGGCAATTTTTCCACCTTTTATGCATGCCTTCGTGTTGTAACGGTAGCACACTCGATACTTATTCGAGAGGTCACGGTTCGAAACTCGGGGAGAGCATCGCTCATTTTTCATGCACACCTGTTTCAAAATAACTAATGATTCTACAAGCGCACCTGTAAATTTATGCAAAAATTTTAAAAGATTAAAAATTTAAATGAATTAATTTAAATTTTAAAATAAAACACAGTAAATTAAATCGTGGATGTGAGAATATCCGTTAGATATATTTTCCTACTCGTATTATGCGTAATAATTCAAATTTGATAGCTCAAAGCAAAAGACTATTAAAATTTTATGTCACTTGCAAATAAACAGAGAAATAATATTTTCAAATTTAAAATGAGATGTAATGACGATATTATTTTGTCATACATTTTGTACAAGACTTTTATTAATTTCGAGGACGATCAGCACATGTCCCTCTTCTTCACTTCCTCACTGTGCAATTAATGACATTAATTCCAATTCAGTTCACCTTAACACTTCTAGAATTCTGATATTTTTGTTTTTAACACTTAATTATCATTTTCCTCAACAGATAGCGCGGTATTCGTGTTTGATTTACTCCATGCGTGCTTCTATGTAAATACTGTCGTCACTCATCCCATTCTATAGAATTT